GTGTTTTAATAAGCACTCAGGTGATTCTGGTGCGTGTTATAATGTGAGAACCACTAAATGCGATTGTGATCTGACAGCAAAACACAGTGTGAACAAAGGGGCACTGCCCCTTTGCCTTCTGTGCTCAGATTTTCTACTTTAAGTTTTTGATCTCCCAGTTCCAGTACTCTGAGATTCTGTTTGTATGTTTTAAAGCTAAATAATAGATTTATGAAGACAAATTGTATGAATGATGTTGTATAAATACAAACAATGGTAGAGGTGATATCGTCGATTCTCCTTATTCCCAGTAGTTATGTTCCGTGAAGTCACCACGAACACTGAGATAGCGAATACTGAGCCATTGCTCCTAGGGGAAATACGGGGTTAGGTTCCTGCGAGCCTCTGGGCTCAACATTTTCATCAACTGATCAATACGTAATCTTGCCTAAGGGGTGTTTCTGCTCAAAGACACCTTATTTAATATAGTCTGTTGACTCATTAACATTAAACTAACAACTAACAGTACTACAACTTGTGCCTAAACAAAGCTTATCTAACACGTGTTTCCTTCCTAACACACATCACAACATTCTTGCACTTTAGGAACCTAGATAGCACTTCAACACAATACTGGGGGGCCATTTTAAACAGCAAAATCACCAACAAAAAGCACAAAAGTTTTAAAAAAATGTCACTGAATAGACCCCTGAAAGAACCCATTTGTTTATAGTATGAGAAACAAGAAGGCAGAATAGCCTTGCCTGACCTCAGCCAGGAGCATGCACTTTGGTGACTCGAATTTGTCATCCTTCTATACATGTCCATGGATGAGCTGAAAGTGCCACAGTATGGACTTGAGGCTTACAAATGAATTTTAGCAAATAGGTGAGTTAGCAAATATTGAGCCAGAAATAATGAGGATCAACTGTATTTTAATATTTCAATTACATAAAATGAAACAGTAATTTACAATAGTGGTCTAGCAATTACTACAAAGTCTTTGTTTTCTGCTGTACCATTTAAAAGAATAAATTAAATCAATGTTTGCTTTGAAAAACACATTTTAGGAAAATTTGACCATCTCGATTTTGCAGTTTGGGCAATTGAACTCTTCATAGAATATATGTGAGTAGTTATTTTCATTTTTCTATAATTTTGTATAAACATGTGGGCCTCGGATTGCCTAGAACTTTCTAAGGTTTTTATACTCTTCATACGAAAAGTCTAGTAATTTTTCATCTATCTCTTTTCAGATACAACATTCTTGTCAATGTATAAACTCCTTCATGCTCTTTGCTAAATACAGTGAGACCTGTCATTTGTAGAGTTTTGTGGGTGTTGCCCCACATAGATGGCGGTATGGTGTTGAATACGCCACGCTGCCCTCAGCCTGGGTCGGAATGTTGGCTCTCCCTTCCATCCACTGCTCCGTGCCCGAGTTTTCTGATTGGCAGAATGGAACCAACAATAGTGCCCCCTCCAAAGACTGACTGTGAAGCTTAAATACACTAACTTCTGCCAAGTGCTTAAAACAAGACCTGGCAGGTGGCACACATTCAAGAGATGTCAGTGAACACTGTGGTAGAACATATCTGATGTATTTAAAATAGACCTATTATGAAAGGAACTTTAACAGAAATCAGCAAATTGGCTTTGAGATGAGTCTTTAAAGGTAAACTTCTGAAGACGGTTTGGACCTATCCGGATAAAACTGTTTACCCTTGGTAATTTTGTTAATCTTGCTGACCCTTGGTTTTCTTTTCTGTGTACAAAAGAGTAGCCACCTTTCGGGGTTGTCGTGAGGTTTGGAAGTAAGGTATGTAGGTCTGTGGCCCTGTGTGCCTCCCACAGCGAAAGCACCCTGTCTGATGGATGCTAATATTATGACATTTTCTGCTGGCTGTGTGTCCAGATACTGTTCATTGCACTAGTGACTTCTGATCTAAACAGGATTCTCCATCTATACTAGGATGAAAATTCAGCGAATCCTGAATCTTGCAAAATAGGTATGCGGTATTATGCTACAATCTGCCTGGGAAAGGGTTTTAAAGTGACAAAAGGGGGGAAATAGTGACATCTGGTGGCTCTCTGGCAATATTCATGCAAATATTTTAATCCCCAGGTGAATCTAATGTGTAGTTGTATCTTGCTTTACATAGGCTATTCCTAGAAAACTTTCATAAAAAGAAAATTTCGTTATTGTTTAATATCAGATATAACTTATTGTAATTTCCTAGAATCACTTTAAAATAATGTCCTTAGGTAACTTTTTTCAGTTTTATGTTACATAGTATATTAGTTTTATATTTTTCCATGATCTTATGTAAGCTGTGGACTTTATAGTTTACCCAGCACTTCCTAAGATTTTTATACTCTTCATATTAAAATAATACAACATGATGTCCTTAGGTAACTTTTTTCAGTTTTATGTTGCATAGTATATTAGTTTTATATTTTTCCATGATCTTATGTAAGCTGTGGACTTTATAGTTTATCCAGCACTTCCTAAGATTTTTATACTCTTCATATTAAAATAATACAACATGATATTATCTTATTCGTCTTCTCTGAAAGTAGTTACTAACTTTGTAAAATACATTTAGATGTGTAGAGGAGATTAGTGTAAGCATTTATTAAATACACTTTTATCATAGGACAGTTTTAGATTTACAGAAAAGTTTCTCCCTATCATTAACATCTTATATTATTGTAGTATATTTGTCACAATGAATGAACTAACATAATATAACGAATACATTACTATTCACTAATAGTTATGCAAAGATCACACGGCAAGAGAGGAAGCAAGAAAGGGAGAGTGGAGGTGCCAGACTCTTGAACAGTCAGTCAGCTCTCGAGGGAACGAATAGAGCCGGAACTCACTCATTACCATGAAGATGGCACCAAGCCACGCATGAGGGATCTGTCCCCGTGACTCAACCACCTCCAACACTGGGATCAAATTTCAACATGACATTCGAGGAACAAACATCCAAACTACAGCATGAATGAAAGAAGGAACTATTCAGGTTTTGAGCAGAATTCATATGAAATATAAAAGAGTCAGGATTTGCAGAGTTTGAAAATAAAACTGTTTCACCATCACAACCTTTCTGGGCAAAACTAAGAAATGGCCTCTGGGCAAAGATCAAATCCTAGGCAGTGGTAAAAGTGAAATCCAAGGTTTGGCTTATTGAGACCTCAGAAAGATTTAGGGACATCTTACAGACGGTCCAGGCTAAACAATGGGGCTTTTTAAAAGTCTTAAGAGAATTGGCTCACAGCAGTCTCAAAGGTGAACTAAGAGCCCACCTCAGAATTGCTGGTGTGGTTTATGACTAATGGAGTAAACTCTGGTAAAATTCAAAGAAAACCACAAAGTTTGTAAGAGAATTATGTTGGTGGAGTGGTGTAGGCAACACTGGTGTGGACTGAAAGGGGCACAGACTTAGGGACCCCCTTCCCCAGCCTTCTGTGGAAGGAAACAGGCTGAGAAGTTAATCAGTTGCAAACCTGGGCCGTTTCTTACCCCTACTTTAAAACTGATTATTTATAAAAATGGTGAGGATGGCTGTATCCTTAGTTCAAGAAATGGAGTACTGTTTTTTTTTTTTTGAAACAGAGTCTCACTCTGTTGCCTGGGCTAGAGTGCCCTGGCATCGCTCTTGCTCAGGCTGGTCTTGAACTCCTGCGCTCAAACAATCCGCCCGCCTCGGCCTTCCAGAGTGCTAGGATTACAGGCGTGAGCCACCGCGGCCTGGCCCGGAGTACTGTTTTTGTTGTTGGTATAAGTTTCTTACCATCATGTTAGTGGTGCCCATTCATAATAAACCAGACTTTTCCCCCTACTAAATAGGGTAAAACCGGGTCCTGAGCAGTAGGAATAGTTTGTACGTGTTCAAACATAGACGGCCTCAGCTCTCAGAGGAGAATGGATATGGCAGGGCAGGGCTGGGAAATGTACCAGCATCCACCTGATTAATTGTAATTACTAAAAACCCTTTAGTGGGGAAATGCATTCCTTGTGTAGCGCCCACCCGTCGATACTTTGCTTTGAAAATATATTTTACCCCAGCTACCTCACTCCTGTCTTTTTTAGCTTATGAAAACGATGGCTCGGTAGTTTCACTATCTCACACTATGAACTCCAAGGACTCTGGTCCTGGTATAATTGTGTGACTCCAAAATTGAAACAAGCACCTATTAATACAGCAAACGGCAAGCATGCTTTCCGGTCCGTAGAAAATGTGTTGGATTGTGTGACATAAAGCATCGGTTTGCAGATGGAGAGACACGCCATGGGAGGATATCAATCTCTGGTGTACATAAGTAGTCCCGGAGTTCCTGTGAATCGAGTAGTGGATCTTGCGTTTTCCAGATCTGGGGCTTCATCTCTTTTTAACCTCACTTGGCCACCCCCACACCCAATCTAGGCATCCTTCGATGAGAGTGGGGGTACAGATTAAATCTCCCTGCAGTTGTCTGCCTTCCCTCTTCTGTTTGGAAGAACTAAGGGCAGCGAACACCTGTCTGGACGGCCCCTCCGGCCCAGACAGCCCCCGGGCGCGGGTGGAAGGCCGGGCGGGTGCGCGCGAGGCCTGGAGCGCGGTGGGGCGGCGCCGAGAGGCCGGCTGGCCTGCGCAGACCTCGGGCCGCCGGCTGTGAAATCTGGCCTCTGGCAGGGATAGGGGAGTCGCGTGCTTTTCCTGAGGTCTGGGGCAGGGACCGGGGGTGGGGCGGGGAGCGGCGGGATTAGCAGGAGGGGCGCGGCGGCCGCGGAGCAGGAGGGAAGGGCGAGCGCCCAGGCCACCGGAGAGGGGAGTGCGGGGCGCCCCGCGAGCAGCCGCGCCCATGGGCCGTGCACGGCCGGCGGGGAGCGCCCCTGGCCTGGCGAGCCGGCCGCCGGCGCGGGGCTAGCGGGGCGCGGGC